TGCACCGTGAAGTGTGCGCTGCCGCATACTACCAGGCGCGCGGCTCACCGACGTGCGCCTGGCTAAAGATCGGCGCCGATTGGCCAGCCTTAATAACTCCTTTATTAAGCATTATAAAAAAATATGATAGAGGACTTTTCGACTCAATTTGGTCCGCTCTATCTGCACACGAATATTGTCCCCAATGATCTGTATATATAAACACTACTGACGTTTGTGTTTTAAGATGGCGGCGGTGGACATGGTGGGGGTAGAATTGGCGCCTCTCTGATAATCTAGGACTTTAATGTTTAATTGTATTAGTGATCAGTAAGTGTGTTGGATGACACACTACTTACTAATTACTACCACAACTAAACGTAACACTATACATATATGTGTTATGCCTCCGGAGAGGCACGGTAGTTAGGATCGTTTGCCGGAAGGAATTTGGGAATTCGGGCTCCGCCCGAGTAGTTCACTGAATTTATTATAATTAAAAATGACACTTTCGTATTCTGAATAAATGTATATATAACTATTTTATTCGTACTTGGTTTAATTACAAAGTCTCCGCACGTCTCTCGCGTCGCGTATCGCGATATCGGATATCTTGGCATGCGCGTGTCTGGAGATGAGTTTCGGTCGCGAAACTCACTTCTCGATCTTATGTATTTATTTCTGCCGACTGCGTGGCGTTAATTTAATAGTTTCCCGTAAAGCGTTATTGACTGCCCCAAATTATTCCATTTGGCAAACCTGGCCACATACGGAACATTTTTCGTGACCAACTTTTTTTCTTTCTACACTATCAAGATAACTCTCCTTACTCTTCCTTCATGGTTCCGATATTCTCTGTCAGTACCATAGATATATAGACTGGATTGAGCATTGTGAGATAGACAAACGTGCGCTTGCTGTAGAAAAAGGGGTGCTATATGGGAGGCCTATGTTTGTCTCTTTTCCTAGCATCTCATTGGTGATTTTCTATATGGAGGGAGATAAAATCAGCAATGAGATGCTAGGAAAAGAGACAAAATAGGCCTCCCATATAGTACCTTTCTCTCTACAGCGAGCACGCGTTTGTCTATCGCAACGCTCAGTCCATTCTATATGTCTATGGTCAGTACTGAAAGTCTATAGTGTAGGTGACGTAAACTATAAATTTTCAATACTGGCAGTGAATAAGTAAAGCCCGTATCAGACTACGCATTGAAGATTGAGACTAAAGATTGAAGATTGAAATTTGACCAATCAGGACAAAAAAAATTTAGTTCCATTTGTTCTGATTAGTCAAATTCCAATCTTTAATCTTCAATCTTCAATTTTCAATGCGTAGTCTGATACGGGCTTAATGCATCATGCACATCATGCATGAAATGGAACGCAGCCCTAGAGATTGAACACTCAAGGTGCCTTTACATGGCAGCATCGAGCGTTAAGCGTCTGCGCAGAATATTGTTGCTCATAATTATATATATATTTTTCATTTATTTTAATATATACAGGGTGTTCCCGGGTTAAATGGCCAAACTTGAAATATGAATTTAGGATCTTAAAACAAGAAAAAATTTTCCTCTGGAAGTATGCTCGCAAAAGCTTCGTTCAAGAGATATTAATTTCTTAAGTTACAGAACTATAAGAATGGATAATGTAGAAATAATCTAGGTTTATCCTCTTTATTGTTTTACAGTAATCAAAATTTTATTATTAAATGTTTTGTTCAAAATGATGGCCTCCAGCTCGGGAACAAGCATTGCACCCATCGATAAGAGAACAAGTGGCTGACTAATATTGTACGTCTGTAATTTCTTCGCTCACTATCCTTCGTTTTAATGATTGTTAATTTTGTTTTAAAACAAAGGCTAAATCTTAAATCACCTATTGTAGACCGGCACTTAATCACAGTCGAGTATTCTCCTCATACTTGATTGTGATTGGTCAATTTCTTAAGGCTTAGGGCTTAAATCACCTATTGTAGACCGGCACTTACAGTGCAAACACAAGCCTGTTAATTTCTTAAAAAAAAAAAGACATTTTGGCATTATTCATTCCTATAGTTCTGTAACTTAAGAAGTCAATATCTCTTGAACTAGGCGTTTGTGAGCATACTACCAGGGGAAAACTTTTTCTTGTTTTAAGGTCCTAAATTCATATTTCAAGTTTGGCCATTTAACCCGGGAACACCCTATATAATAGATATGTGTGTGTGTTATTATTATTATTAATCAAAAATATATTATAAAACGTCACTACTCTGGCAATGTAAATCAAAATAAAATTAAAATAGAAATGCAGCAAAAGATTTTGGATGGCTGAAATATTCAAATAAATAAGACACAAAAAGGGATTCAAAAATGATAAAATGACACAGTTTAAAAAACTATTGTTAAAAGTAGGAAATGATTTAAAAGAGCAGTATGCTATAAACATGCAGAAAAAATTATGAAAATTATATCCCTTAATCTTTGATTAGATTCTAATATTCTAGGGGATAGTAACGTTTTATATATATTTTGTTTAATAATAATAATATCTATTGTGTATAATGTAAATAAATATCTAGGCGTTTGTGAGCATACTACCAGGGGAAAACTTTTTCTTGTTTTAAGGTCCTAAATTCATATTTCAAGTTTGGCCATTTAACCCGGGAACATAATGTATTTTAATAAGAAATATATACAGATAAATTGTTAATAATATATTTAAAAAAGGAAAAAAATAAAATATTGAAAAAATAAATATAATTTTGCTAATATACAATATATTACATAAATAATTATGCAAAATATATTAGATGAAATAATAGAGAGAGCAAAAAAAAGAAAATAAAATATTATTCAAAAAATGTTAAATGTATTATAAAGACAGTATCAAGAAAATATATATATATATATATATATAAAGTTATAATTACAAATATAATTATATTAAATATCTGTAATCGTTTCGTAATCGCTTTGTATCAAAAACTCTGATAAATTGCGCGATCGTACAATAAATAACATATAATGTCATCTATTCCGCCAAATAAGGTAGGCAGTAGGCATTTAATTGGGAATTTAAATAGTGTGAGAAAGAACGAAAGAGTAGAAAAAAAAGAGTAAGTAAGAGAGAAATTTAAATGGCGTTACTGGCCAACTTACTTATTTCGCGCATGCGCACTCCGTTTTGGCCAACACAAAATCGGGAGAGTTGCGCTACTGTATATACTGTGGTATTAGTAATGTGTATCAGGGTATCGATCATGTAACTTTTCCCCTAAGGCGGAAAAGTGAAAAGTGAAAAATTTTGCCATTGATTTCAATGCTAATATTTTTCACTTTTCATGTTTCCATCCTAGGGAAAAAAGTTACATGATCGGTACCCAGAACATAATTTTTTTTATCTCGATCGAATTCATGTCATCATAGATATATTATATATAGATAGAGCTTTGTGTCATCTTTTCGTCTTAAAAACCGCGTCTGCCAAGATAAATAGCAGATTTTTCTCCCTTGCGCATGCGCATTCGTACATTTCTCTCGGCGGACGCATATCGTTTGTAAGGACTTGAAATTTGCATTAAAATTTTAAGAAATTTAAGAATTAACAAGTGCGAGAAATTAAATGTATTGTATTTTTATTAAACACAATACCTTCTAATAAAATAAAAGAAGTTATTTTCTCGTCAGCAATAAGTTATTTTCTTGGCCGTCGGCATCATAGACATAGAAAATATAGAGACTAAGCATAAACTCGTGGTTTAGGCGAGGGGAGTGAAGCCATTGCGGAACGATGCGACGAGATAAATTGTGCCTAAATTTGATTGGCTATTTTATTATGCAAGCGCAGTGATGCTCGTATCTTTTACGATTGTCAAACTGTCATGCGAATTTTGAAAGTTTGAATGGCCGTTTGTGAAAAAAAATAAAATTAAAGAAAATAAAGAAGACGAAAAATAGGCAAAAGAAACAGAGAGAGAAGAAGATAGGAGAAAGAAATACTACGTACTATTTCTAATATTTATTGTTCATTTTTTATAGATTATAATAAATTTTCAAAAATTCCACCGTTAACATCAATGCATTTTTCAACTGTTGTGTGAACATGGCGTGTTGCTCGTTTGATTGTGAGTACATCGTGACGTTCCTTTATGCGGGCACTAGCATATATATTTGAGCGAGCAGTTCGTCTCGTGTATTCACTTTTCTTCTGTACACTTCACTGTACAGGTTCACGGATGAAGGTTGAAGTGTACAGAAGAAAAGTGAATACACGAGACGTACATTCAAGTCGCTCTATCTCGGAAACCGTGGGGAATAGGACATATATTCATATGAACATTTTTGCTTAAAATGACCGATACGATCACCTCCCAGAATATTGACCTGTACATTTAAGTCGCTCTATCTCGGAAACCGTGGGGAATAGGACATATATTCATATGAACATTTTTGCTTAAAATGACCGATACGATCACCTCCCAGTATATTGACCTTTCCTCCTGGAACACCCTGTATATACAGGTCATTTTAATTTCCCCAGGCAAATATTTTGGAAAATACGGAAAATCCGACGAAATGTTTCAGACAAAAGTTGTATAGTTTCTAGGGGGACATAAGGTGGTGCCATTAGTTTGACCTTGAAGAGTCACATGAAGGTCACGTAAAGGTCATTTTGAATTTCTTAAATGGAACACCCTATATATTTTTGCATGTTCTGGTAGCTTACTTCGAGAACTTTTCAAAACACTATAATTAAACATTTTTTCATCAAGTACTTTTTAAGTTATAAGGTTTGAAAGTACCGCCAGCATTAGCGTTACCCAAGATGTACCACGTGGAGATTGCCCGGTCGGATTTACATCTCTTGTGTGTGTGTGTGTGCGTGTGCGTGTATGTGAGTGTGTGTGTGTGTGTTTTTATAAAAATTGCTCAAAAGTACTACCATTCTGATCGATACATAAATGTAATCTCCTTTCGAAAGCGTCAATTCCTTAACATGATTTCCGGTATATTTCTGCATGCTTGCGCTCTTTCATATCTTCTGGTGTAGTGGGTATTGTCTGATACACGACACCTTTTAGATATCCCTACAAAAAAAAGTCTGGTGATGTTAAATCAAGCGATCTGGGTGGCCAAGCTACATAACCATTTCGTCCAATCCAACGCTGTTCATATGTTGCATTCAAAAAATTTGTTACGATGCGCGCAAAATGTGGTGGGGCGCTATCCTGTTGTATCCACATACGTTGGACCGTATCGAGATTTACTGCCTCTAACATTTCTGGCAATTCATTTTGCAACATATTTAAATATGTTATGGCTGTAACATTGCATTATCAAAAAAATAAGGTCCTATAATGTGATTATCCAAAATACCACACCATACGTTAACTTTCTGTCGGTGCTGATTGTCTACATGTCGAGTCCAATAAGGGTTGTTTTCAGAATAATAATGGCTATTATGCCGATTTATTCCACCATTATTTTCAAATGTATCCTCATCACTAAACATTACTCGATGAAAAAATGTGAGATCACGATGAATTTGATCTAAAGCCTATCTGCAAAATCTCACATGATAAACCTTATCATTATCTGAAAGTTGTTGATGAATTGAAATATGGTAAGGGTGATAATGGTTAGCGCGTAAAATTATCTCGTGATTTTTTGGAACGTTTTCGTGTCATATTTCTGGTGCGGGCTCTACGTAATAATTGCAAAATCGTTTTGTGATCAGAGTGTCTTCTATCCGGATATCGGTCTCGATATTGACGAGCTGCTTCTCTAGCATTGTTACCAGCAACGCCGTAAATACTAATCATGTTTACGATTTCTGATGGCGAATAATCTGCCATCTCTTAATAATAATAAGTTAAGCAAATTAATTAAATATGAACTAAATGTTCATAAAAGAAAATGAACTGAAATAAGGTTTTATCATCAGAATGAAGCAAATTTTGTACAAAAGGTCACTTTTCAGATATCACCTACATAAACGTCTGGTTCATAAATCACAAATTTTGTACGGAAAATCAATATGTTGTATGTAATCTTTGATAGTACTTCCTTAGATTGTAACTTCCCAAATCGCCTGATTTAAAATCATCAGACGTTTATAAAAGCTCTCGAGATAAGCTACAAGAATGTGCAATAAAAAATGGGTAGTTTCATTAAAAATTTTAAAATTACCCTCCGCCTAGCCCGCCGAGCTCACGCGTACGCGCGTATACGTGCGCGTACATGTCTGCGTAGAGCTCGACGGGCGGCATCCCAGCCAATAAAGAGGCCGCCGTGTACGACACCGTCCTGTAACCTCGGACTACCCTGATGGCCACCCTCCTAAACACGCGGCGCAGCAACATGCTGCCCCGCTTATTGGCCACCAGGGCGTCCGCCCACACCGGTGACCCATAAAGGGTCACCGCCCGGACGGTGTTCGCATAGAGGCGGCGCACCCGGCCATCCGGGCCCCCAAGATTGGGCAAGAGTCGGCTGAGGCTAAGTGCCACCGACTCTGCCCTGGGGGCCAGAAGCTCAAAGTGCCCGCCAAAGCTCCAAGCCGCGTCCAGGTAGAGACCAAGGTACTTCAACCTGTCTCCCACCCGGACGGAGATGTCACCCACCGCGACATGGGCATCAGTGGGGGGTCAGAGGGCCTCTCTGGAAACTGGCATATGCACTACTTCAGAGAGGCCCTCCGCCCACGAGCCGTGCCCGCTGGGGGAGCGGTTTATGTCTCCCCCAGTGTCCCCGCTGTTATGGGGACATCAGCTTGACTTGGCGAGAGGGGGACCACCGCCCCTCTCGCCTCCCTCCCAGTATTATCCCCGGGGAGGGCGTGGCCGGGCCCAGGTACCCCACCTGGGCTCCGACCACCGGGCCCGGCTCGGGGTGAGACGCCCGCGACGAGTTAGCGGGCGTCCCCCCAAGTTGCCGGGGCCCTGCGCAATCGCTGGGGGAGTTCGATGGGGCCGGGTCCGATCGCGACCCCGCCCCCTCCCCCTGCGTGCGCCCCCCCTCTGCTGGGGCGGGTCTCTGGAGTGGCCAGGGGCAGTTGTTGCCCCGGCCCCCATCGACCCACCCCGGGGGTTCCGTGGGGCGCGGCTGGCTGCCGCGCCACCGCGGCCGGAGGTCGTGGGGGGTCGGCGGGTCCTACCGGTAAACGGCCCTTCCCGCCTTTCCCCCCCGTCTCCTCCGGTCGCCTCTTCTCGAGTGCGGTCTCCCCGGCGTCCGCCGGGGAGCCGCTCCCGTTCGCGTTCGGCCTCCTCCTTCTGGAGCATCACTGCTTCACAGAAGGAGGAGACCGCCCTCCAGGACTCCTCGCCCTCGAGCATAGCCGCTACGATGCTCGAGAGCGAGAAGTCGATATCCCCTATTATATCGACGAGGGCACGGCGTTCGTTTGCCCACGCTGGGCACACCTCCAGCGTGTGCTGCGCCGTGTCCTCGTCCCCCCCCGCACAGTGGTGGCAGCGTGCGCTGTCCTCTTTCCCGATGCGACACAGGTATGAGCCAAAACACCCATGACCCGTGAATACCTGTGTCACATGGTACGACATCTCGCCACCCGCCCGGTCGACCCACTTGATCAAACGGGGGCGGATGGCCTCGACGACGCGCCTCCCCGATGTATCTCGGGGGTTGGAGAGGTGATCGTCCCACCTCTCCAGAGCGCGCCGTCTAGCTTGAAGCCTCACGGCGGCCTTGACCTTTGGGGTCAAAACAACGCCTAGCCCGCCGAGCTCACGCGTACGCGCGTATACGTGCGCGTACATGTCTGCGTAGAGCTCGACGGGCGGCATCCCAGCCAATAAAGAGGCCGCCGTGTACGACACCGTCCTGTAACCTCGGACTACCCTGATGGCCACCCTCCTAAACACGCGGCGCAGCAACATGCTGCCCCGCTTATTGGCCACCAGGGCGTCCGCCCACACCGGTGACCCATAAAGGGCCACCGCCTGGACGGTGTTCGCATAGAGGCGGCGCACCCGGCCATCCGGGCCCCCAAGATTGGGCAAGAGTCGGCTGAGGCTAAGTGCCACCGACTCTGCCCTGGGGGCCAGAAGCTCAAAGTGCCCGCCAAAGCTCCAAGCCGCGTCCAGGTAGAGACCAAGGTACTTCAACCTGTCTCCCACCCGGACGGAGATGTCACCCACCGCGACATGGGCATCAGTGGGGGGGGCCCGTGTCCCCCCCCCTATGCATGAATAGCGCCTCAGTTTTTTGAGGCGCTACCTGCAGGCCCATGCCGCGGATTGCGCGGACAGCGCACGCTACCCCCACGTTGGCAGTCGAGACTGCATCCCCCCAGCTCTCTCCCCCGGCCAACAGCAGAGTGTCGTCCGCATAACAGACGACACTGCAGCCGGGGGGGAGGGCAATACCCAGCACCCTATTATACGCGAGGTTCCACAAGATGGGGCCCAACACGGACCCCTGTGGAACCCCACAGTATACACCCCTTCTGCTTAGGAGTACCCGGTGATCGGGGTACTCCAGCCACCTGTCCCGGAAGTAACTCCGTAGGACCTCCACCATGTAGGGGGGGAGGCCAAAGGCGTTTGCGGCCTCCCCCACCCTACTCCAGGGCAGGGTGTTAAACGCATTGCGGATGTCTAGCGACACCGCAAGCACCACCCTGCCCTCCTCCATAATGGACTCCGCGAGGGACCGGACGCGTAAGATCGCGTCAACGGTCGATCGGCCCCCGCGGAATCCATACTGGTCTCGGTGGAGGTCCATTCCTCCTCGGGACAGGTGTTGGACGAGGCGGTTCGCCAACACTCTCTCCAAGAGTTTACCCGCCTCGTCCAACAGGCAGATCGGCCTGTATGCAGAAGGGGCGTTGCTGGGCTTGCCCCCCTTTGGGATGAGGACTAATCTAGCCCTCACCCATGCTGGGGGGAATACGCCCTCCCTGAGGCAGCTATTGAATAGCCGCCTCAGGCGCCCGGACAGTTGGGCCAAAGCCAGGACCCAGACCCGGCCGGGGATCCCGTCGGGACCCGGGGCCTTATTGCCCCGGAGTCTCAGTCGACGGATCACGCCGGCCATTTCCTCCTCTGTAACCTCCAAGTCCTCTGACCACGGGATGGTCGCCTCTTGGCGACCACTCGCGTCAAAAGGGGGGCCCTCGGATGGAAAGAGGGCCCCCAAGACCTCTTCGAGGACTTGGGGTTCCAGGGATTCCGTCACGGGGGGCGCCCAAGCTTTCAGCTTGTTCATCACAAGCTTGTAGGGGCGCCCCCATGGGTCTGCGTCCAAAGAGCGTAGGAGCTCGTCCCACGCTCGGGCTTTGGCCCGCCTGATCGCGGCGCTGAGGGAGTTCCGAGCGGCACGGAACCCCTCATACGCCTCAGCCGTCCCCTCGGCGTCGAATCGACGCCGGGCCCGGGTGAAGCGGCGCCTGGCTGCGACGGAGAGCCGCCTAAGCTCGGCGATCTCCTCGCACCACCAGTACGCCGCCCTCCGCGGGCGGGGGCTGTTCCGGGGCATCGCGAAATCACACGCATCGCGAAGTGCGCCCCGGAACCATTCAACTTCCTCATTGATCCCCCGCCCTTCTCCCCCGGGACATGGCCAGTCGGCCGCAAGGACGGCTGCGATCAGCCTGTCCGGGCTCATCGCCCTTCGCGGGCGGGGGCTGGCTCGGGGCATCGCAAAGTCGCATGCATCGCGCAATGCGCCCCGAAACCAGTTCACCTCCTCGGTGATCCCCCGCCCTTCCCCCCCGGGACACGGCCAGTCGGCCGCAAGGACGGCTGCGATCAGCCTGTCCGGGCTCATCTTTTTGAGGGCCCATCTCCTCGGCCGGGCATCCCCCCGGCCTTGGGAGCGGCTGAGCACCCCGTGGCGGGTGGCATTCAGGACCACCTCTATGTAGAGGTGGTCCGAGAGCGTCTCGCACTCTGCCACCCGCCAGCTTACTATCATTCGTGCGGCGGAGAGAGTGGCCCACGTGATGTCCGGGACCGATTCCCCCTGCCACCGCACTAGGGTGCTCCTCGAACCTGTGTTAATTAGACACAGGCCGAGTGCCGCCGCCCAATCCTGTAGGGCCTCGCCCCTGGCGTCCGTGCGCCGGGAACCCCAACGCGCCGATTTCGCGTTGAAGTCCCCGGCCACAATGGTTGGACGGGGCATCTGTCGACGAAAACATGCCGACACCCCGTCCAAAAACGCCTCAAACTGGGCGAGGCCCACGTTCGGGGAGATGTATACTCCCAACACCGAGATGGGCCCCCACTTGACCACCACCACTCCCTTCCCCGGCCTCGACCGGTGTGCAAGGCGGGAGCGTGGGGTCGTTCCTCCACGTGATCGCGACGGAGCCTGTCCGGTCACCAATCCAACATGGACTGGCTTCCGGAACGTAATATGGCTCCGCCGCGATCCCCAACCCGAAGCCACGCTCAGCCAGGCTGTGCAGAAATAAGTCCTGCGCCCGGCGAGCGTGGTTCAGGTTGGCCTGCAAGATCTTGAGGGCCGCTATTTGTCGCGGCCCTCAAGATCGGCCATTTTGACCTCCGACAATGTTGTTGGAGGTGTTATGGCCTTCACCTTGGCCCTAGGGGGCCTTTTCTCCATCGGGGCCTCTAAGGAGGTCCCGTCAACCTCCGGCCCGCGTTTGCGGGTCTCGGAGGGCGCCGCGGTGATCTCGGTCAGCTTAACCGGCCGAGACCCCGCCGCTGCGCTAGCTGACGAGAGGGTCTCTCGTCGTCGGTCCGGCCGCTTTTTGGGTGGGGTGCATCTTGCGCTCCCCACCCTGTGGTCGGCCGGACGACCCAGTTCCGAGCAGACCGGGCACCTGACCTTATCCGCGCAATCGCGCGCCAGGTGTCCCGGTCTGCCACATCTGTAACAGCAGCCCCGTCTATCTACGGGGCTGCTGCAATGCTGCTGGACGTGCCCCTTTTCTAAACAGCGAAAACACTGTAAGGGGCGTTTGTCCAGCAGCTCTATCTGGGCGCGGGACCATCCCACCTGGATGGCCCGCGCCGCCGCCACTCTGTTGGCGGCCCTTAATGGGCACTGCACCCATGCAGTGCCCAGGCCGCGGGTGGGGAACTTAATTTCTCCCACCCGTACGTCCCCCACTACGCAGCCTCCATCCCTGGCTATGGCCGCCGCTATGTCGGCGGCCACCAGGGACTGGTCCAGGCCGCGGAGCCGAAGTTCCGCCTTCCTAACGGGCCGGGCGAGCCGGACCCCCTCTTTGCCGGAGAATACCCGGCAGAGGTCGGCATAGAGGGCATCAGCCCTCTGTGCTGCCGTCGGCCCATCCTTCTCGCCCGACCCAGTGAGTTCGACGACCATGGCCCCGGTGGCGGCCTCACGGACGCGGAGGGAGTCTATCCCCAATTTGGGGAGGTCGATCTCCCTCCGGGCCATGGTCATCGTCTCCTGATACGCCCCGTCGGCGCAGGTAATTGTTACCGCAGCCGAACGGGGCGCTCTACGTCTGGGGGCGTCTCCTCCTCGGCGCCCTCCAGGCTGTCGCCTTTGGCGTCCCCCCTCGGCTCGCCGAGGAGGAGGCGCCTGTTTAGCGGCATCCTTCCTGGCTGGGGGCTGGGCCGCTTGTGCGGCCTTCGCCCCAGCTTTCCTCTCCCTCCGTCCCACCACCTTAGACCAGGGCTCGCCCTGGCCAGGTGCCTTCCTAACGGGCCGGGCGAGCCGGACCCCTTCTTTGCCGGAGAATACCCGGCAGAGGTCGGCGTAGAGGGCATCGGCCCTCTGTACCGCCGTCGGCCCATCCTTCTCGCCCGACCCAGTGAGTTCGACGACCATGGCCCCGGTGGCGGCCTCACGGACGCGGAGGGAGTCTATCCCCAATTTGGGAAGGTCGATCTCCCTCCGGGCCACGGCCATCGTCTCCTGGTATGCCCCGTCGGCGCAGGTAATCGTTACCGCGGCCGAACGGGGCACCCTACGCCTGGAGGAGTCCCCCCCCCGGCGTCCCCCAGGTCGCCGCCCCCGGCGCGTCTCCTCGGCTCGTCGAGGGGGGGGCGCCCGCCCGGCAACGCCCTTCTTGGCTGGGGGTTGGGCCGCTTGTGCGGCCCTCGCCCCAGCTTTCCTCTCCCTCCGCCCCACCACCCTAGACCAGGGCTCACCCTGGCCGGGTACGTGTGGGGGGGAGGGGGAATCTCCCGCGATGGTCTCACCGGTCGGGGGTTACCGGGTGGGGGGTTCCTCCCCCGTTCCCCGGTCCCCGTCAGCGATCCTCGCGGAGCAGAGGGTTGGGGAGGGGGGGGCACTGTGCCCCTCTCCCCTCCCGCACCAGGCCCTCTTTTCTTCTTCCTCCTCTTTCCCCCTTGACCCGGTGCGACAGCATCGGTAGGGGGAAGAGGTGGGAAGGCCCCTCCAGATGGGCGGCTGGCCACAGCGGTGGGTCCATAGGGCTCACCCCGGCCTATTGCCGCCCTGAGGTCGACGAGGGCGGCGATCTGGTCGGTATACCACCGATACCACGCACGCTCGCGCTCGCCAACCACTCCCGGCGGGTAAACTTCGGGGAGCGGCGCAGAGGTACCCCCCAAAGGGGGCCTCACCGCCGCATTACCCCGGCCACCCGCCAACGTTGGGGAAGTATATCCCTTAGCCCCCCCCGGAGACGTTGGGGGCCAAAGACCCTGGACCCCCCCCCGGGGACGTTGGGGGCCGAAGCCCCTTGGTCCCACCGTAAGCCTTTGGGGACGGAAGTCCCCCGTCTTTCACGGGCTTCACCACCCTTATGGGTGGATCCACCACTTCCATCGCCGTCACCCGAGGGACCCGGGTTATTTTACGCGGGGCCTCCTCGGGCGAAGCGGCAAGCGGCAAGCTCAGGGAGGGCTTAGCCCGACGGACCGCCTCCAGTTCGTCCCTGAGCTCGTGGATCTCCCGCTGGAGGTCCGCGTTACGATCCCCAAGGGACTTTAAGTCCCTACGGAGGGCCGCAAGCTCACCCTTCTCCTCATTCTGCTGTGCCCTCTCAGCCAAGGTGATGGCCGCCGCACTAATCAGGGCAGCGGACTCCCTCAACTGTTTCTGGGCAGAGCCCTTCAGGTTTCCGGAGTAGACGGCGACCCGTTCTACGGCCCTCGCCTCCTCCAGACTCCGCGCCACCACGTCCGGGGTTGGGGCTAGTCCGACCTCGTTAGCGCACTCCGCCTGAAAGGCCCGAAGCTCTTTATTTGGCGGGGGGATGGGAGCATCCTTCGATAGGGCCTTCCGGTTCCTACGCTCCTTCTCCTCCTCCTTTTTTTGGGCGGCTTGCTCCCTACGCTTCTCGCGTATGCCGATGTATTTACCGGTAGTGGGCGGCCGTCCTCTACCCCTCTTTTGTGGGAGGTCATCTACCTCCATCGCGTCATCCCCATCAGGAGACGCGTAAGCCTCCGTATCCTCACTCACGAGTGAGGTCTTGGAGGAGGAGGCGGGAGTGGTGTTGTTGCTACCACTCCGCAACTCACCCTCCACCTTCCCCTCTTCTTGGCGGGTGAGGCTCTGGCCCCGATCCGCCTCACCCCGATTGTACGGGTGTGTGCGTGCGGCCGAGATCGAGCGCGTCCGGGACCTCGATTTGCTCGAGGCCGGACCCGGTCGGCCGGCCCGCCGCTCCACCGTCCTCGACTCCCTATCGCCGGCGATAGTCCGCTCGCCAGGGGTGCTCGTCGGCAACACCCCTGGTGGCCCGTCGCTAGATGACGACGAGGGGGGAACCGGGACTGTATCCCCCCCACGCCGGTCGCTGCGGGATCCGAAGCCCGCTGCGGCAGTAATCGGTATATCTTTATTTGAACTAGTCATTGTAGTATCAAAAAAGATGGTTTAATTTCGGTGTTTTCCTTCACCTAGGTCGGTTGGCTTCACCACGCCTGACGAGCCCGACCTGCCCGGGATTTTTTACTGAGGTTACCTACCTCCCCTTCCCCCTCGATCCACCATCCCGTAAATACCCTCACCCCCCTTACCCGTACAACCCCAACACCCACCCCACCCATCCCCAACACCCTCACCCATAGCCCGTACACCCCCTTCGATCCCACACATTCCCCCATAAAAGTCCCCAAGCCCCCCTCTCTCGCTCTCCCAAGTCTCCCTCTTTCTGCCCGAGGGGGGGAAGAGTGGCGAACACCGCCACTCTCCCTCGGGTCTACCTCCCTTACTATCCATTGGATATTACTATCCCACGTTCGTGGGGTTCCTACGGGCAACCCTTCTGACTGCCACTCGTCTATGTGGGG